TCGTTCAAATACTTATGCAACCGTACAAATAAACGGCCATTTGTTACGCGATACACACGTTCTATATCATGTTTACTCTATGCCGATAATACAGGGTGAGAACATTACAGATTTTCGGTGAAATTCTCTACGATGAAAAAATTTCATCGCAATTTCCGACCTTTAATTATTTCCTCTTAATGAAAATTCATTCTCTGCATAATACGATTCCAAAGAATTAATAACCATAGAGCTTATACAATATACAAAACAAATTACACAGTTTAATGGATGTACAGAATACACTTATTAAATGTATGCGCATTATTTACGAATTTACACATGTACATACATACATACTGTACACGATAAAAGCTAAAAGCTAATTTAAAGCATCGTTTCAACCAGTAAACAAATTTTTCAAACATCCTCGAGAATAAATGGAACTGTGATTGCTTCCTCAACGAGATAAGTCTCTCCCCCGGTACTACAAAGAGCGTGTTTAATCTAGCACAAACGCGGCGGGGTTTTCTGATTAAAGCCGATTTATAACGAACGTTCCAGCTAATTCCACCGAACATTGTTCACGACAGGCTTTCGTTTCTGTTTGCCTCCACCAACCACTGAAATAAGTGCATTCGAAACATCACCGCGAATGTGGGCTAATGGTGTAAACGTCGAGGAAAGTGCAAAAGCGACGCACGTTACGGTTAGCAAGCGAGAGACGAAACAAACGAAACGACAGCACATGTGTCCAAAACAGCAGCAACAGCAGCAACGCTCCTTCCGTATTTTCTACGAAAATTCGGCCAGAGTTTTCAACCAGCATAAGATAAGAAGAGTCGAGTGTTCGAGCGGGACAAAAGAAGTGGCGCGTTTTCTGAACGACGCTAAGAGAGGGCGCCGTGAGCTCGTATTTATTCTTTCAGAGGTTCGCGAGCCTCGAAAGAGAATCCATTTGCGATTTTACATGCCTACCCCCCTAGACACGCGAGTCCCATGAAGTTTGAGTCCCTCTTTCTCTCTTTTTCTCTGCCTCCCTACCTTTCTCTTTATTCCAGAGCTTGCGTCGCAGTAGGTGCAACGACCGTCTTCACCGCGTGTTCCGTAAACAGAGAATTCCTGTCTAGACACGATTCAGGCCTCGAATTTCGGTCACTCTTTACCCTGTCTTCTCAGACTATTTAGCTTCTAACGAGAATAATTAAACATCCATTCTGACCCCCTTTTATCCTTCCCTTGACTCACTGCCTACCCATAATACATCTCTGTATAACCGTGATACTTTCGGTGCTTTCGAATTCTCTCTATATACCGGGTGTTCCATCATTCATGAATATGAATATTTTACAGGCTTTCGAACGCAGATATACGAGGTGTCTCATAATCCGAACTTTTTCACTGGCTTACGAACATCCACGTACCGGGTGTTCTATAATTTACGAAAAATAAAGGTTTCTCTCTCTCTCGTAGGTTATCCCGAGAAAAATTCTTTCCCTCAATTTTTTCTCTCTTCTCGAGCGAACAAATTGCATTACCCTAAGAAAACCGAGCGCGAGCGGGAGTTCGATTCTTTCGGTGAACTTTTCGAGGTTCTGTTCGACGAAGTTTGTTGGAAAGAAAAACGTATCCGTCGTCGGATGGAAAATGCGCGCGCCACGGGAAGAAAGATTTTCCATAAATTCACGCGGGTGTGCTCTCTCCTCTCGGTGTCCCTGTTTCATTCATCTTCGAACTGCTTCAAACTGTCGACGAAGTTCCCCTCGACAAAAGTGAGAAACAGATATCTCCCTGTCTACGATCGTGCACTTACGATGACTTCCGTTTTCCGGCGGCTGCAACACTCGGGGACACGTTTCTACTTCTCCTCTCGAGTATATATACGTCGCACGGGTTAACTTGGTCCAACAGTTCTCCGGTGCAGCTGTTTCGATCGAACGTGTGTAATCATCGAACGTTCTTACGACTTTCTAAAATTGGATTCGATTTTTTCCTTTTTTCTTCCGCGCCAGGTAGAACGAAAATACATATTCGATGAGTTTCATTTAGAAATGTGGAGAAAATGGAGGGAACGTAGTAGAAGCTATATGTGTCCCAGATACGAATTACGAAAACTATTGTACTCGAGCTGGTGCTTTGTTACATTTCAGCTGGAGCAATTATTTTACGAAAGCATTGTTCAGAATATTCGAAACGAACGCGTGGCTATATATGTATATATATCATCCTCGTTTTCGATGTCCGCTACTTTTAAAATACTCTCGATTCTATGAAACGATTAAAAATTCTCTCGATTTTTTCCAGTGAAATAAAATCACACGAAACGAGATACTCCAGATTTTTAATACTGTTTCACCTTCGAAAATTCGCGCACGGGTAATGGCGCGAAATTTAAATTTGAATATCGAGTCAGCGGGAAGAAAATCAAGGAACGTGGAAAAAATTCGTGTAATTCGATGTAATGGTCGCACCTTCGAGGTACACGGTGGAATGAAATTTCGCGAAATCACAGGTCTGGTGAGATTAAAGGTGAAGTTTATCGATGTCGCGTAAATAATGAATGCAATATGTACATACACGGGTCGATTTAGCGGGGGGGTTCCACGGGGTGGCACGCGAGCTATCAGGGTGATTGACCCCGCGGCTGTATGCAGGCCTTTGCGTAACACGACAGAAAAATCAAATTTTCCGCGAGTCGCGAGACGAAGTCGTGCCCGGGAACGTTTGAAACCGGGAATCAAGTGTTCGCTTGGCAGAAACGGAATCTGCAATGGTGTGCTTTCGATACTGGACGCGGGGTAATCCACTTGAGCCGCAAGGCCAGAGAGTTCCCTCGAAATGAACGTTTAATGGAATAACGCGGATAGAAGTAATTACGCGAATGATAATGACGAGATACGGTCTGTCTTTGTCGTTCCGCGGCCACGCTATAGCCGGACCGAAATCAATTGGCCGCTCAAGGCCATTGAACAGTGAGTCAACCCCCCACCACCAGCGCTGTATTTAGCCATTTTGACGCTTCGCGGCCATTGTTCTTCTTGATTCACGATCGGTTTCGCTCTATTATATCGCTCTGCGTGGCTGCTGGATTTTCTATTCAAGCGGGAATTAAGATTGTAAAAAGATTGATTAATAGGGAGCAGGGAGAAATGAACGTTTCTGAATACGTAACGATACTTAAATTGTAGCAAAACATATTATAGATGATTATCAATGGATATTGTGAAAAGTAAAACTGCCAAGATTTGTGCAAGAAGTATTATAAGTAGACTGCGGATTTTTATGTATTTGTGGAAAATTTGAAGGCGTAAAAATATACAGAATGCACATATAATAAGTAAAAATATATAAATAATATGTAGTATTCGTTATAATATTTAGTGAATAAAATAATTGCCTATCTAACTTCTAATTTTTTAATTACACTCATAAAAATATGAATTTGCATAAAAATTCGCAGTCTACTGATAAGGAAGACTACCTAAAGACAATTATCAACTACTGTACAGTAGCAAAGATAATAGAGAAAATATCTTTCATCTTCGTTTTCTATATTATCCTCAATTATTCGAATTAGAGAGAAAAATAGAGATATGTCTACGGGGTACAGTCGGAGGAAGAAATATAGCGAACTCACAAGATCAGTTAAGCATCAAACTATACATGTCCAAGCATACACAGGGTGTCTCACTTATAACCAACCTCGAAATAATTTTCACTGGAATTGAAACTTAGAAAAAATGATTAAGACGAGTTTATAGAATAAAGTTCCTCCAAAATTATCTCGATGGTCGTCGACAATGCGTCGACAATGCTTCGACGACGGCAGCGAACGTGTCAATGTGACTAACTCCAGCAAATTAAATTTATCAAATATTTTCTTCTTTATGAAGAGTTGAGCACTAAGCGAAGAATTTCAATCATTTCGGCTTCTCGGTGGCTCCTAATATTTCTTCCTTCGACTGTACCTTCCCGAACACAACAAGGAGCATTCTGGAGCAGGCTGACGCGTCTATGATTCACTCGTATGTGAGTCAGAGTTAAGGCGCACGGGGCGACAATCTCCGCTAGACACGGATCTCCTATCACCTTCGACATCCTTGTTGTGGCAGTTAATTAGCGCGTACGAGATAGACGTAGAAGCGAGGCGAGTGGCGCGGATCCATCCTCTCCACTTGGACGCTGCTCGCTAATTATATGCTTCGATCGAGCGTAACCGGTGCGGTGGTCCGATTAGCAAAGACGCATTCGTCGACGATCGAGCACGATTCGGTTCAATGTTCGCGTTATCGAGCCAGAGGAAATTAAGAACGTTAAGACTAGGACTAGTAGAGTTACTGGAAATACTCGTTCGTTCCTACATTTTCTACCTCTCTTTCCTTTTCTCTTTTACACTTTCTGCTCTCATCCTTCGTCTCTCCTTTCTCCAACATTCTACGTAACAAACTCTCCTCTACGAAGGGGTAACTTTCGGAATTTTTGTCCGGTCGAAAGTCGGACGTTTTAACGTTAATTAACGGTACCAGCAACGAGAAGACGTCGTCGCGTTTTGAACGACAGCCCGCGAATATATGTATATATAGGCATTAATTAGAAAGTTCGTCGAAGCTTGTGTGTTGATCCATAGCGGCCATTAGCGTGCGTAGCTAGATAGAAAAGAAGGAGAAAAGTGAGATATAAGGGAGTAAAGATGATGATTTTAGATTTAATTAAGTCTCGAGACTTCCTCGGATAAGTCGATGGTGGGAAAGAAACGATGCGTGCTCTTCTCGAAACGTTAATTGCTAAGATGATAAAAAGGAAGAAGAAGAAAAAGAAAAAGGTAAGTGTATAGCGCGCGAGCGCGAGCGCAGCGTTAGAAAGAGGGGTGGGGGAAAAACCGAAGGAGAAGATTAGAGGAGGTAGAGATTGAGATAAGAAGAAAGGTGGCGCGCGAGGGGTGTGTGTGTGTGACCAGGATGAAAAAGAATTCGTTTTTGAAGATGCACGCTGATAAATGAACGTTTAACTTTAATTAACAGAGCCTTGGGATACTTGGCAGTATACCTGCAGCCTGGTTAATCCTAACGTTGCTGGTGCTCCTGGTTTACCTGGTAACGAGATGCTGCGACCGGAAGCCGCGCCCCAGGAGGTCGATAACCCTGCTGAAGTGTTCGCTGGCCATCCTCGCGCTGCTCTGCAGCGGAGCTGTTGCCGTCGGCCTCTACGGTAACGACGACGTGCACAACGGTCTGGTGCAATTGGTGGCCGCCGCGAAGAACGTCGATGGTATTCTCATGGGTATAAGGAATCAGGTTGGTACTGCACAAGAGTTATATGCACGTCCATCTGGCCCGTTCCTATATCTCTTCTCCTTCCAACGTTCCTCACCTCGAACCTCTCTAATTAGTTACGCTTTGAGATCTCTGTTCTCTCCTTATTTTTCGACCAATTTACGGACTTGTCTGAAATTTTCCGTATACATTCCACGTGTACAGAGTGTGTCCCAGAGTGTGTGTTGCTGTGATTTTTCAAGCGCCTCCGGTGATCTGCCGAAAGTGTTTAAAAAAAAAAGTTCATCAAAAAGTTTTTTTTTTTAAATGAAGAGTCAAGGTCATCTTCATTTTTTAAATGGCATGTAGTGTAGCTCATGTCAAGGCCACTGATACACTCTGACACCCTGTATATTCTTTTTGATATTTATTTGTTTGAGAAAACAGTTCTGGTAGGTGAAATCCAATTTCAGTTAACTGTGCAATTTTTGTCGTATTGCATACCGGGTGTCGAAAATGTTTGCGACCAAATTCGAGGGGCGTGTAGTGCTCGTTGAAACGAAGAAAAAAGTCTGAATAAACATGGGTGCAGAAATGATTATTTTCGGAGTTACAGGACGTTTCAGTTATGAGCCTGTGACAGAGTAACAGACTCTACTGGGTGTCTATTAAAAACCTATCGAACGAGTCGTTGCAACTTATCTGTTATTACAGAGTCCAGTAAAATAGACATAATACTAACACAGATAGAGGTAATATGTCACTAATGAAAACATCTTGTAACTCTGAAACTGATGTTTTTTAAACCCATGTTTATTCAGACATTTTTGTTTGTTTTCGTAAGTACTGCATGCTCCTGAAGTTTGGTCGAAACTATTTCGAACACCCGGTATATCGTGTTTTTACCCTGTACACTATTAAGCATTGAAAATGTTATTAACACCGAAGTATTAAGATAAGAGATAAAAAGGTTCGTTAAGTTGGCCATCTTGAAAGTAGCATTGAATAATGGGATCGTTGGAAAATGAATAGGCAGCAACGGGACAAGAAAAAGTCAAGCAACCGTAATCTAGACTTTCTAAAGTGGTAAATAATTTATTAGCCAATGAAATCATTCGTCTAATCTTCCATCTAATTATTTCGAATCTGCGACTTTAATGCCCGTATAACTTCCTGCTGTTCATCTTCGTTACTCGCTCCTCGGAGCGGGACACTTCGAGCCGCTACAGTTTCCTTATTGCTACACGTTCGTTCGTACATTCGTGTTTACACTCTTTAATCGTTGAAAAGTAGAGCTGCAACCTGCTCGTAATTAGTTCACGGTCTAGTTTCAGATTTTTTTTTTCCTGCGTTTAAACGTGCCTTGGCTCGAACCCGCTAATTTGGGTCAAGAATAGCGAGGAGTTTGCGGACAACCGTAATGGAAATAAACCTGAAAGAAGAGAGAGATAGAGATATCCATCTGGTGATAAATAATCCGATTTCCCGGTGTCCAAGAAAATTCCATTTTTTTAATTAAAGATCCTTATCTGACGGCTTAATTTTACCGAATGCCGTTTAGACAAGATTAATTCCGCATTTGAGAAGCTCCGAAACCGAGCTCCACTCACGTACGCTCTGTAAGTTGAACTCTGAGTAAAAAGGAAGCATTTGAGGTTAGGAATATTTAAAAAAAAAAGTTCAAGCTTGGTAAATAACGAGTAAAGCGGAAATGAAATTTTCTTCTAACATTTTTTCAGCTAGAATTACAGTTGCACGAACATCGAGGTTAGATTAAGGTTCCAAAATTACTTTCACTGCAGTCCGGTCACGTGATACTTAACCCCTAATGATTTTTAAATTGCTACGTATGTTAGCCTCAGCTGTCGCAGCGGTAAATAAGGAATAATCAAAATATTGCACACGGTGAACCACCTAACACGATAACCTTAGATTATTCTGTTGTTGTTGAAATTTTTTTTTATCAAACTTTTGTCTGTGCTCGAACCTAATCTGACATAACTTAACCTTAAAATTGAAACGACTGAAAAACACAAAATATTCCTAATATTTCGCTCAACTGATTATTGAACAATTCTATATACGAATATCAGTTTTGGTAGCTTGATTCACACAAGAGGAATTTAACTTAACCTAACTTAACCTAACCTTAAAATTGAAACGACTGAAAAACACAGAATGTTGTTAATATTTCGTTGAACTGATTACGAAACGATTTGATATACGAATATCAGTTTTGGTAGCTCGATTCACACAAGAGAAATCTCCTTTTTCCTTTTTTCTAGACTGACACCATCGAGGCGACACTGAAGGGTAAGGTGCAACCACAATTGACCGCTTTGAGGGACGAATTCGACGATCCGGTCAGCAATAAAACCATGCTCGATCAGTTGTTGATCGCGATGCAGAACATGAAGCAGAACACGAGCACAGCCGTGAACCAGAGTTTCGAAATTCGAAAACCACTGAGCGGTATCAGCCTTGCTGGCGCGATTGGCATGGGAGAGAAGATAGAGCAATTAAGGTGGCCGGTCACCATGGCCGTTCTCAGCGCCCTCCTTGTTCTCTGTGTGGTGCTGGTCGTCGGTGTGGCGCGACATTCCAGATGCGTTCTCATAACGTACGTGATTTCCTTCTTTCTTTCGTACTCTCTGGTAACGAAAAGAAAAAAGAAAGGAACCATGCGAAATGGGACCTGTCGCCCAACTGGTGGATCCTACTCTCTTAAATTACCACGTTTTTGTAACCCTCTTTCCTGTACGAAAGGAAGAGTGATGATGATTATCTTTGGACGAGATATCGGTGAATTTAAAAAATAGTTAGGTTCGTTGAGGTGAAACGAAAGAAAAATGAACTTCGTAGGGTGAAAAAAGTGTGATCGCCATCTAAAGGTGTAAAAATGTTCAATTTTGTGAGTCAAAGACATTTCAAGAGAGAAAAATATGCATTTATATGTAAAAAAACATCAATGACCTTGAAAACTCGGGGATAAATGACCTTGAGACAGAATATTCTTTGCAACGTGTTCGTCCTTTGATACCATTCAAAAATTGCACCTAAAATGTTTTCCGTATCTCATTTGAATTTAGACGAGACACCAAATTGCACGAGACTATTTTTTCCAATGTATAATAAGTAACCTTAAAATTCTCGTTACAGATTCTCTGTGTTCGGTTTGTTCGCTGTGATTGTCTCCTGGCTGATGGCCTCGCTGTATCTCGCTACTTCAGTGGCTTTAGGTGATCTCTGCGTGTCTCCTGATGGCTACCTGACCAGAGCAGTACCATCCACGCTAACCTCTGAAGTTCTTTCGTACTACACGCATTGCGAGAACACACGTATAAACTCGTTCACTCAGCGATTGCGCGATGGTCAGACTGCAGTTAGCGATATGAGAGAGAATCTAAACACTGTGACGAGGTTGGCGCTCGAATTGTTCCAAAAGCAACAGCTACAGCCGAAGCTGAACAGTCTCTCGATGGACGTGAACACTGTGAACAAATTGATGTCGGGATTGGCCACGTTGCTTGATTGTAAACCGCTTCATAAACAATACGTTCATGCTGCGAAGAGTTTGTGCCATTTAGGACTGTGAGTAAATCCTCCGATCTTAATGTTTCGCTTAGTTTGCAAGTTAACACATTTCGCGCTGCATCCGCCACCTGTACGAAACTTTCTAAACTGTCGCGCCAGCGGAAATTCTTGTATTTCAATTTACAACTACGCCGAACTGAAAATGTACTCTCTTCAGCAACACTTATTTATTTATTTTTTTAACATTCCAATATTTGTGAACTTTGAAAAAATCGTCCTTGAAGATGTTAGCGTATAACATGTTAAGCTACGATTACACGACATTATGCTATTGAACTAGCGACTGAAAACATCACAAAACTATTGTAATAAAAGCACACAAAAAGACATACTTCTACGTGACCAGCGCAAAATGTATTAATAGTTAATCTATTAACTTTCTACTCGTAATTTATAACACTCTGTACTTAAGAAATGTAATTTAACTCGAAAAGATTAAAACACCCTCGTTAATTTTAAGAGAGACGCAATTAGGAAGGTGCTTAACCTTAAAATTTCTTCAGGTACGGATTAACCTTCATGCTGTTGGCGAGCCTAGCCGCGGGTCTGTTCTTCACCGTGTTAGTCTGGGTGGACTCTCACACTTGGATCTATATTCGAAAGCGGTGAGTGTGCTGGATTGAACGCGTCAGCAGTATATGTAACGAGCGGAGTATGATTAACGAGGACTTTGTTCTAGAAGAGATTACCATCAAGTCGACGAGCAGGACCCGTACCTACCGCCATCGGCAGCTTCACAGGCGATAGCAGCGCGGACCCTTCGAGGCCAAGGGTCGTACCCGCCTACAGCCCCTTCTGTATTTTATCCGAATGCTCATGGCACTCAAAATACCATTAAGCAGCCTCTCTTGCTAACGCCGCCCCCGCCGTCCTACGCTACTGCGACTGCTCGAGCACGTCAGCTGCACGAGAGCATGCTAAAGTTTGTGCATGAGATTTTATTCGGTTTCATTTATTAGCATAACGTCCTGTCTTTATCGTATGAAAATTCAAACGGACGTTGGAACGTTCAGTTTCAATGGGAAACCACTGATGTGAAAGTTAAAGATGTAATTTGAAGTTAACCTGAAAACTATAATTGAGCTTGTAAGTGGACCAATTCGTGATACCAGAATATTGAACTTGCTTTCTGTTTTGTTGAATTATGAAGTGATAAGATAGTAGCATTCGATAACGATAAAGGTTAGACGTTGAACAGCTGCGTTAAGCTGGGACAGTTTCTCAAACTAATTTTACGGTGTAGTTTGAAAAGGGATTTTTAATTCTACGAGGAATGTTTTGTGAAATTGCTAAATTGTCGTTGATTGAAATCTATCAATGGAAGATGAAATGAGGATTCCTTTTTAGAACTCCCGACTAATTGAAGACTTGATGTGAGAATCTTAATCGTTTCGAATTATGATTTATGAAATTAATAAGCTTCTCTCATGTTGTAGCATATATACAGTTACATCAAATCTTTATATTGATCGTTCGCTTTATACATAGACGATGTATTTTTTATTCGACTTTTATGAGATGTGTTGATTTCTCCATTTATTACCAGTGTGTTGACCGATTCAGTTTGTCAATTTACAATGTGACTTGTTCAATGTCAATAGATACTGTGTTAGGTTTGAATGTCGCTTTAATTGTATACAACACTCTGGTGGCAATAACGCAAACATCGCAGTACAGTTATTGATCTTTTACATTGAATAGAAAGCGATTAAAATCGTTTTATAGACTTGCAGGCAAGTTAGTCACGATTGATGACCGATTATTTCTCACGACAATAACTGTACAGTCGTTTCGTTTTCTCTTTGGTGTTTTTACAGCATCCTGATGAATTCGATTTTTTCTTATAATACTCATAGATATATACATACATATACTTCTTCAAATTTTTCAATTTACTACTATTTGTGATCGATGTTCAAAGCAGATAAAAAGAAGAATGAATCGTTTTTTTCCTTTTTTCTGTCTATGGAAACAATATTAGAGATAGTAACGCTTTTGTGCGTGTTTTCGTTTTCCATAGCGTTTTCATGTTTAGATTGTTCTTGATGAGACTCAGAGTTTCTTCGATAGGAATATAGAAATCAGAGAACCGTCCGAGAGAAAGATAATGCTGCAACTTTGTTCGTTTCGATTTCCCATTTACAGAGGTGGGGGTATTAACGGGAGCGGAGGAGGCGGGGATCACAAATCGTCTCAGCATAATCAGCAGTCGACAGGTGGACGAGCTGAACACCGTTCTGGGCTCGGAGATCAACCTGGCCAGTACGCGACTCTGAGCAAACAATGCAAGACCCTTGAGTCCAGCGATTTTTACTGAGGGCACGCCCCCGCAGGGCCCGGTAATTTTCATCTTAATCTCTGAATAAATTCGAAGATATTTAAAATTCAAATTCGAAATTTGTTACATTCGAAAATTAATAAAATAATTTTTATTTAAATTGTAGGTAGAGAACCACCTTGGACACCAAGCGTGGCATCCTTCACCGGTACCCTGTCTCACAATTCTCATGGACCTGCTCATCTGGCCACTTTCCAGGATTCCCGCAAGACACAGACTCTAGACCCGAAAAATCTAGCGAATCTGAAGAGAGGACCGACTCCGGCTTGGAATCAAAGTCGTCCGTTGCCACCGAATCCCAGCAGTCAACCCACTTGGGAATTCGAATCACGCTCGCAAACAAACATGAATCATTTTCGGTCCCTGGTACGAAACAAGGCGCCGAACATTCGTATTCAGGACCAGATGCAAGATCAGGTGCGTACGTTAGACCGAAATTTCACCAGGAATCAGTTTAACGGCACCACACAGAACAACGCCGTACCAAACATGTACGGGACGTATAATCGAGCACAATCGAGGCAAGAAAATAAGACAACGGTGGCAACGTTGAGTCAAGTACAGGGTAGCGATCCCAATTTGTACGCCGTGACGGAGCTGTAAGATCGAACAATACACCACCGAACCCATGCAAAACTGCCATCTATCGAAGAATCTTTGAAACACCTCCGAAGAAAGAACATTCGCTGTAATACTTTCTACCGAGGAATCATGAAGAAAAAAAACACAATATACAATATATCATTGTTCTCAAGGGACTCTTTTTCGAAGCGTTCTACATTTTTTAACTATTTAAATAACAACATGCATATTTTAATATGCATTCTTGTTTTATAAAGTACATACTCTCGAAGAGAAGAAAAAACATGGCTCAATCGTTTGGTAACTTTTGATAAGAACTTCGACATTATGCGAAGTAACGTTTATAATATACGTTTAACACGTAAGGATTTCATAAAAAAAAAGAGTCATCATCGTTCCACGAGTATAATCGACGGAGAGATTTATGAAGATAAGGGTATTCACCTATGCTTCGATGCACAAGTGTATTTGGAATTTTTTGAGAATCGAAAAAACAGCGAAGAAAGAGGAGGAAGAGAAAGAAGCATACATCTTTTATAAAATTAAACAGGATATCAGACGTGTTGCACATTTAACGTATCTCATGAATTCTACAATGGAAAAAAGGACGTCATAACGAGAAGTTGTTATTGGAAAGATAGATGTGGCGAGATCTGATGGAAAAGGTCGGCGAGTAATGTGAGTAAGAAGAAACGGGGGCAAAAAAAGTCTTGGAATCGAAGAGTTCACAAGAAGAAGAGCGATATACATCGCGTTGTAGAAATTCGCGTTGAAATCGCGTAGAGCGTTGGGGGAAAGGGTAAATGGGATTCGTTTACATTGGTAATCGAGGTACATTTAGATTTAATGCTAATATATGAAATTTTTCTCTGCGAAGACGACCTTTCTTCTTGTCGTTTACTTGTCCAAAGCTGAACATTCATTAGGCCTTGATGGCCTTGTATGTCCCGAAGTTTTGTACTTGTATATCATGTACAGTTGATCATTGTCATTCTACGTTAGCGTTTACTTTTGTAAATGATCATCGTCGCTTCTCGATCGAAACGAAGCGAATGATACTTTACGCGAGCTAGCAAGTTACGAGAGGGATCGTCATTTGTCGTATTTATTGCTTGTTAATAGTTCATTTTCATTGACAAAACACAAAGTGTAAAAGCACAAGTTATACACATTACGAATTAACGTGTATAAATCGCCTACGAAGAAAACACAGAGGAGACATCATTTATCGGCCATCTTTGAAGGCGTGTAAAAATTCATCAAATTTTTACCTTACGTTTAAATCTTGTAACATAGTTAATTTTCACTTGTTCTCGTGGCCTACTACTTTCTCTTTCGCAATCTTTCCAAGCCAAGTTTTGCTAATTCCTAACTACCTACGCAAAGTGTCATCTTGTTCCCTTGATATTTTAATTGCGTTGTTATTTTAAAAATTGATAAATATCATACCGATTCGTAGAGGTGGAATTTTTGAACAACTTTTACACGAATTAATACGGCGATTATATACCAGAACGCAAACGATATACCACGACACGACTTTTATATATACTCTTTTTTTTATACTTTTTATCGATGAACACGCGAAACGAATTTATCATTGATTTTTGTCGGTGAAGCATTTCAGTATGTATACACACTTTACACGTTTGCGAAAGATATACACGATTGATATAAGGAAGTTACCGCACGGAATACGGAACGAGTGATATGAATATATATATATATAAATATATGTATATTTATCAACGTTAATATTTAAAGTTCGTTTACGTGAGTACACCACGACGAGAAACGAAACGAGAGTAATAACAATAATCGACTAAAAAGAACGGACTAACAAAAGAAGAAAAAAAAAAATAGAAGAAGAGGAAGAAGAAGAGAATAATTCTGCCAATACTCAGGCGAGCATACGTTTTTAAGTACAAACACGATGAAAAAAAAAAAGCACAAGCGTTGTGTACGTCAGGTCTTTTCTCATTTTTTATATGAAACAAACATTCTAGAATCTTCTGATATATCGATATCGATTATCCAGAATGCATTTTGAGAATGTATCCTTCGAGTTCGAAACGCTGATTGGATCAGTCTGTTTCCAATGGAATTCTCAAAGGAAATAGGTCGATGAGAATAGCATCGAAATTAAAGAGGCAATTTATTGATCGGGGAAAATATTGAAATGATAAAATTTGAAAAAAAAAAAAAAAAAAACAATTGACGGATGTTTATCTAGATAAATTTTTCCATTTATTTGCAAAAATTGTGCTATTAAATTATAGCAGAAAAAATTTCTATTGTTTGTCATCCCCGTCAAAAATTATCATTCCACGATATTATGGTATTTTCATCGACCGTAACGAAGTTTTCGTAATATCGGTGTTTTTCGACCGAATTAGAAAAAGGAAAAAAAGAGTAACGATAAAATCGAGATTGAATTATTTGCGGAGCGCAAAGTCTTCCTTGTAACGGCGATCCCATAGAAAGTGGGATCCCGAACGAGATCATTCGCGATCAATGAAGATATCTGCAACGAACCGGCGGACGGCTTTATATTCCGCATCCTATTCACCGAGAAAATATGTTGTAAATAGGCAGTAATATAATAGGTGTAAGGTTGTCGAGTAAATGTGAGAAAGGGGAGAATAGAGAATGGAGAGAAACAAAGCGCAAGTAAAAGAAGTAAGAAGGTGTACGTGTGATATAACTTGAATTTAGGTGTTAAAAATTTTACACAGAGATAATATCGTTCTCCTCTACCGTTTTCGTTTCTCAAACGTTTCTTCGTTTATGAAGAGAGAGAAAGAGGAGAGAGGAGAAAGAGAGAGAGAAAAAGAGTAAAATGGACGTTAATCTTCCTGGAAAGAAGAACCGTCATTTTCGAAACGAACATTTTGTTATATTCGTTTACGTTTTCTTTTTTACGATATTATCGAAAGAATTTAGAGGAAATAAAAGAATAAGAAGAAGAAGAATAAGGAGTGTATGATTTTTACGTTGATTGTTCGCGACGAGCATGGAAACGGTGTAGGTAGAAGAAGCATGATTAGGTATAAAAACACGTTTGATCCATTGTACATAGTTGTAATATTTATTAAAATGAGAAAAAAAAACAAGGAGCGATCATAGCGCATAGAATTATAGCGACACATAGATCTAGCCGTTAATTGATTAATAATCTTAAGATCGAATCGAAGAACGAGATATATCGGAAACGAATATCGGCGAGAGAAAGGGAGAGAGAGAGTGTGAGCTTTCGTTTCCTTGGAATTTATCGAAGGGGGTTGAAACACATCCTAGTCAGTAAAAAACAAAGGTTTTTCTTTTCGTACACGTTCGACATTGTCCGGCTGTTGCATACGACGAACTTTCTTGCCAAATTCTCGATCCACACGGCTCAATATTTTCGAACGTTTCCATAGGAGAGAAATTTGTACTTCGCCTACTTACTGCTTTATTTCAAATTTCGAGTGACAATTTTTTTCTGTTTTTTTTTTAGGCGTTTAAAGTGACCTCGCCTAATCTCGAGTACGTGATGTAAAATGTGAGTCGACGTTATTATTGTGATCTTCAGTGTCCCTTTTCTTATGTTTCTCCTGATAGGGTAGGGGTGAACAATGATTGGTTCATATTTTACGTTGCAAACTGTCCTTTACTCGAAACGAGATACGTTCTCTTTATTTTTTATTTTGTTTTTTTAATTTTCTGTTTTCGTTTAGTTTTAAGCGAAGTATAAAGTAATTTACTTAATAAAAAGTAACTGGAATTTATTTTGTTAACAATGCTACTGTTTCTTTTCTTTTTTTTTTCTTTACTTTATCGTGCGACCATATTGTTTCCACCCTAGCAGTGTATATTATCGCTCAGTACCCAAGATTTGAGTATTATTTATACAGGTTTCAAGTAACGAGACGATGGAGTATTTAAGTTTAAATAGACTAATCAGATGTAAGGAGGAAAGAGAGGGGGAAAGAATAATATGGAGGGACACTGTGAAAACGCGGTCGACGCGAGACAGTCGAAAGAAAAACCTTGAACTTTCGTCTCCGTCGTTGAAGACTGTTATAAAACGCGCAAACGGGATCAATACAGTATTCTCTGGATTTACAGAATGTCTGCGAAAGACTAAATGAAAATTTTTAACAATTCGAGGCACAAAAGAAAAGGAAAAGCCACATTGCGCAGAAAAAAAGAAAATGGATTTTCTAACGCTTAAATAATCGCACAATCGGCCCGACACAAAAAATATCGTAATCTCTCAAAGAAAGAAAGAAGAAAATAATGAACGGAAGATCCATGATTTTCACAGAAAGAATAGAAGTATTATTAAAATTCTAAATATTCGAGTGCGTAGTCTAGACGATTGTTGACGAAACTTTAATTCTAATAGTTTGTCAATTTGTATCGTTGTATCGAGCAGGAGCCTGTGCGAAATGAAGTTGAGAACCACTTTTTTCGATGAGTACAACTGCATTTAATTTTCGCATCATTTTTGATATCGTGTGAAAGATAACGAGAGAAAATACGTTTGCGAGTGTGCGTGTGTGTGTGTGAGAGAGAGTGTGAGTGTGTGTACGAATGCATGATAGAGAGAGAAAGAGGGAGCGAGAGAGAATTATTTTCAGGAACAATTAATATATAGTGGAAATATAGTACGATTTATAGGATGTAATGATACTTCTCGAATTGGTGCGTTGTTCTGGCCTATGAAACTTTTTACTTAATTTAATTAAGAATATAAAAAGGTTAGGTGATAAGAAGAGGGTAAAGTAAATCAAAAGTGTCGAGATGATCGAACGAGATGTATCGATTTGCGCGAGGCTAACTTTTCGAAACTGTCTTCACGATTGATTCACGAAAAGTGGCGCTTATATAGCGGACAGTCGGTATCGCTGACAAGCGCGCGTTCTTGTTTCACGAAATAAAATTTAAACGATGAGATTATCTCGACGAATTAGACGAGTAACGAATTCAAAGAAAGAATAAAATCAATTTTAACGAGCTTTCGTTAAACTTCTGGTTCAATTGGAATACAGATTTTGAAAAGTTATGCTTTACGCGAGCTTAAACGGCAAACTGTCGTTACTCATCGTCGAACAACCACAGAAGACCTAAACTTTTTTCGTGCTGTAACAGTGCATCTTCGGTTTTATACTAGATATATTTAGTTCTCATAATGAACTGTACAGTATGTATGATTTTAACGACCAAACTGCGACAAATTTTGAAATTATTTACACACTTAACGACGATTATATATTATATATGTAAGACAATACAAGATGTAAGATCAGTCCGATTTTCTTACATATGATCGAATAATGTGATGTTTAATCAATAATCTTTTTACAAGTTATACATATATATTGCAAGTACGAAATCGATCCATCGAAGATATCGCACCAATCAAATCACATACGCTGTACAGTTCAAGATACAAAGTACGCATTTGTGGGAAACAGATTTTTGACACGGTAGTTTAGTGTGCATCGATAAAGAAGGCGTTCGTTCGTTCGACCAATAAAAAAATAATTCAACTACAATTCTTAGGCCTTCAAACGTTGATTCGCGGATAGGTACGCGTGTTGTTCTTCGTTTTTGCGTTTCTACTCTCTCGGCGTGCGAACGAGATTTATTTACAAAGTGTGCAGAGGCTATCGAGATTTTACGTAAGTTTAAGATTTCTATGGTGTTTTTTGTACGCGTGAAAACCAAGCATTTTCAAGCGTGTATTGTAAAGAGAATTCTTTGAGAGGCATATATAAAAGAGAGCAAAACGAAAACTCGTTAATCGATACCGTTTTTGTGCATTGCGAATTACGTCTAATTGCCATATTCCAGACTTAATTCCTCCTATTGTAATGGTAACACGAATATTATGAAAAGAGAAATAAAAAACATAAGATCCATGGTTGTGTACTTATACTACGGTCTGTATAAAAAACATACGACTCATTTTAGATAAACTTCTTAGTTTCTTAATCAATACAGAATACAGATAACCGAAAAAATATATGTATGTCAAATTTTACCTTGAGCTAGAAGTTTAATGTACATTTTTTACGTGTTTTACGTTTGAATTAAAAAAGAAAAAAAAACGGAAAAAATGAGATAGAAATATATATAGTAGGATCGATCTGTTCTCTTAGAAATAAGGGTTAAAATTTTCAATAAAAATGCAATGAATTATATCTTGAACGCCATCTATACATATAATACTTCACTACGTAGGTACGGACGTGTATGGACTTTTTACAGTTTACGTACCTTGTAACGTATTTCATGACCTTGAAAGTTTCAAGTGAAATCGGCTAAATCGATTTGATCTTTTTCAGAGAGAACAGTTTATCATTCGTAAGAAACTTAAATTCTAGGATTTCAAAAAGACACTAAAAAACTTCGATATATTCTTCATTCCTTTATTCGATTGCAATACTTTATTACAAGAATTTGGTACATAAATATACATACAGTTTAATTTCCTTTCATTCAATGTATCTATCAACAATTTATTGAGTACTATAGTAATGCGAACGTTTTTTTTTTTTTAATGTTTTTCCTTAAATTTGACAAGTTTCATACCCTGCCGCGAATTACATATTACATAGCAACAATTCGAATCGCTTGAATGTAAATCTATACGTCTCTTTGGTTATTATTTAAACATCGGAACATGGTTCTGATTTTTTGCTTTTTTTTTTCAGACGCGTTTCGTTGGATCCTTAAAAAGCTTAGCTTTTTAAAACAAATTTTACAACGTACGCGTAACGATACTCTTTTTTTTTTTTTTTTTTTTTTTTTTTCGTTAAATACTCGAAGCGATTGCGAATTCGTATGTCTATCCTCTTTGTTCATAGTATACATTGTGCTTTATGAGGAAAGAAAAATCCACTTAGATCGTCGTGATTAATAAAGAAGCATAGTTTTTGGATAGTAAGAACTGAAAAAGTATAACGGAAATCTGGTTGAAAAATTTATTCATATCGTATGTGCACATAAAGTCGATGTAAAACACTGTCACTGGAAACTTAATTAACCTATCGTTTAGTTTTATTCAATTTTATAATATAGTATACTTCTTGAACTAACTAAAAAGTTCAACAGATCAACTTTGTTCAAAGTTGCATCGAGAAAGCAATGAAATGCATCTCCGATTTATTGTGCTATGAGAATCATTTTAATTAAAACGGTAGATCGTTAGTACTCACGTTCCTAATGTGAACTTATTGTGAAAGCGACATTATTACTTGTTATCAGTCTAATAAGTACACAAGCCACATTCGACAGATTATGCACGTGTTTTCAAAAATTATAATAGATCTTTGACGAAAGAAATAGAGAAACAGGTGGTAAAAGAAATATATACGGTCGATGTAAGATGACAGAAAAGTTAGCGTAAAATAGTTTATTGAGGAAAGAACGACAGATAGGACGACGTGCCTTCTTTACCTGTGTCGTCTTATTCAAGATCTTCGACGTACGCTTTTGGGATGCTAATTCTTTTTTTTTTTTTTTTACTGTGCTCTGCGAATTGTAAAGGGTAGCTTTTACCGGAAATGCTCGATCGTTTCACCTAGAGCATCGTTCCTCCGCCAAGTTTGCGGACCTGAACTGAATCAAATGAATTTTTTTCTATCGATCAACCGTGTCGTTTACTGTTCACTACGACTTCACCTCGCCGGATTCCTCTTTCACTTGTGGATGAGAGGTGGCATTTGTGATCACAGAAATACTTTTACCGCTCTGCAGGCTGGAATGACTCGACGAACGACTGTGACTTTGACTCCCAGCGCCCACTGGAGTTTGTACAAGGGGCTGCGGTGGAGTTCTAGCACCAGATCCATTAATCACTGTGGAATTCGGTTGCAATTGCATATGATACTTGTAAATGTTCTCTGTACTCTCGACAACACCTATATTTAAAAGATATATATCATTAATCGATATTATTAGATATAAATTTAGAGGAATGTCGGTTAGCACGTCGATTATGTACCGGCTTGCAAGTTTAAACTGCGGCCACGAACTCCTGTTTCCTTCGAAGGAGGACTCCACCAATTGACGAAAGTTCCAACAACAGGCACATGTCTAAGAATACCTTCTTGCCACAATTTCTCGGCATTTTCTCTCTCCAAGTCTGTCTGCGCAGCTTCGATACCTCTTTTCACCACTTCTGATATAGTGTCTAATAATTTGGAGCTGGCTTCCACTTCTTGACCAACTTGTAGGACTAGGGAGAGTAATTCAGCTACATCTGTAAAGATTATTTTAGCCACTGCTTAGCACTGATCCAAGTCAATAGAAAACAAATCTAAACTAGAAATATATACCCGTATCTTGTGTAACCATTCCAAATCTCACACAAGCTAAGCCATCAGCTCCCTCTCCCAAAGAAAATGCCGCGTCTGTGTTTCTCAAAGCTTCGACCAATTGTGTGTTTAATCTATTCAATTCCTCCTTCGCCTGATCGGTCATAACGTGGATCCAAGTGGGAGGAGCGTATCGTACGCCACCTAAACCTGCCCAACCTGGCATTTCCACTAAATGCAAAGAGTCATTTTCTGACACCAATCGTACGAAAGTCGCTTTATGTTCCACTGTTGCCTGTAATATTTCCTATCAAGGAAATGCCAGCAATTAGTTAAAAAAAAAAATGAATGATTACAGTAACTATGCTGCTTAAAATAAACTCACTATCTGTTGTTCGAGACAAGCCACTACATTATCTATGTCCTCGGTAGAAGGAGGTTGTTCCGGATTCTCTAGTGGACAAATGCGAATTGATATACCATGATGTTCGATTTCACACAGCTCTATTTGTACGTTTTCGATGTCCCTTTGAAGAATTTGCCCTAGCCAGGAGTTCAGTTTGTCGTAATAAGGAGGAACACGTTCTGTCGCTTGAGGATCTCTGTCCGCAGGCACAAATTGAAACACTAAAGCGCTGGCCACAGCTTCAAGGAGTTGAGGATTGTGCACAGGGTTGGTTAGGAACTCGTTTATGGTGTAAGAGGTTTCACCACCGGGTGGTTGACTCTAAAAGATAAATTAAGTAAATTGAATTCGAACTTCGATTCAGGGTAACGATATTGTTCATCAGATGAATTTACCAATATCCTTATACAAGAAAATTTCTTGATTTTGTTGTACAATTCTTCCACAGCCAAAAAACACCTCTTCAACCTATTATGTACACCGTCTCTACCTAACACTTGCAACGTGGCCCACAATGGCAAAGTTGGTAAACGTCTTGATAGCGAATCTGTCATTAAACCCGACACCAAAGACAGAGTTGTGTCTCTTGAAGTTGGACGACCGCCCTTTGTGTCTGTTAATCTGTATAACGTCTAAGAATTTGTTAAGTACAAACTCAGGATCCAATAAAACATCTGTAGAATCAAAGATTTACTCGAAAGGATACAACTACCGGCAAGGATGGTATACCAAGCCATACACCAAGAGGTAACGTCATGCTATCGGCGATCTTCGAAGACTGGAAGTCAAAAGCATTCTTATTACACATTTTTTTACAAGAACAAAAATAGAATAAGAAAACTGAATAGACATGAACACACTTACTACATTACTCAACGCTAACGCGGCTAAAGAATGGCCTCTGAGATGAAGCCAAACATTGTACACATCACATGTTGCACGCAGTCTAGCGATATTGTCGCAATGTCCCGTTAATACTGAACCCGCTTCTGCTAATACCAAAAGGGGTGTCACGATATTTGATTGTGTATCTTCCGCCAATCTTCTTTCCAAAGCTGACACATCCATACTATACCGTGATCCAAACATTGTATTATGGGGGATAGGTCTTACACAATGCAGTGGTAATGAAAGCTGAAAGATGTAACCCAGATAAACTTCACATAATACCTATCCAGATCCATAATTACTAGAGTTTACATTGTTTTTAAATATAGACCATAAGTATACCTGTCTGCATAGATGCTGAACCACGCCTAAAGGCGCGGCTACCGAACTGTAAATTAAAGGTGGAGAGGCGGCGAGAGCTGTGAAACCCTCCTCCATGTACCGAGGATACTTGCGGTGCAAGGCCAACCTGGCCACCCTGACCAAACCCTCTAGATGGTCCTCGTGAAACGAGGAGACACAGTCGACGAAACGGAAAATGTGACTGAGCCATCTGGTCGTGTCTGCGGCCAAACGACCAGCTAGTCTCTGAGCATGAGCTTTTGGAAGCGCGAGCGCGTAAGCAGAAACAGTGTGTGCGATCAATGCTAATTTCGCTGGCTCTGTTAACGGTGGCAATGTAGTCACTTGGCTCGTTGCTGTTTCTGTTGAACCGTCTTCGGCAGGTTGTGGAGCATCTTCGTGAATTACCAAATCCTGTAAATGTGTTTTTTTTTTTTGTTTAAATCTATACGATTAAAATTTGGGGATAATTATTTTTTTGCTAATACCTTAATTTTAAATACCTCAAAAAATGCGCCACGTTAAAATTCTGTAAGAGCAATTAACCGATTCGCGACTATTGTAAGACCACGTGATGTCCAGTCGTCAGGATCATAAAAGGACGAACCAATCGAGAAGCGAATCGAACGGAAACAACCAATAGCAATGATTCAATGGCTTCTGCTAGTGTTGTATTTACCTGAATTAAAGTTAATATCTCATCGGTGGTTTTTGACTGTGAAAGGAACCCAGAGGGATTATTCCAGGTGGTACCGCCACCGTCTGCAGCCCTCTCTACAGCTTCCTCGAGCCTGGAAATCACCTGCGAGGCTTGGAATTCCAATGCGGCTACTTCGTTCGACGCAGACCCACCTCCGGCACTGACCTGTCAAAATGATTGAAAAAGCCCGGGATAATAGGGTATCATTGCCACCCGAACTTCTTTCGACACTTCGAAAGGCACTATTACGTTAATCACGCACTGTCCTGATCACGGCTGACACGAACCTCGAGTATGTTTTGCGTTATACTTTCCATCGTCGCTTTATCGTTTGTGTCAGTCTCTTCGGCCATCGTGGCAATAGTCGTCGTGGCGCAGTAACGTCACTACTGCCTTCCGTGCACGTCCAACAACCGATAAAAAAAATTTTTCCTCGTTTGCCCTGTGAAAACTAAAATAGGTTTTCTATAAATGAACGCACTCGAAACTTGATACTTCTTAAATTCGATAATGTTTTTAATGCATTTCTTCCGATATTTCACGAGAAAGTAAGGAAAGTGAGGACGATCAAAGTAGTTGGTACGGCCCTTATTTTATCGATATGACTGTTATCGCAGTGCCAGTTGTTCAATTCGTTGATTAACCGAAGTAAGGTATTTTGCATACGAATCGAGTTATCAACGCACCTGTGTTTTTAATTTACATGCAAGTTTCCGCACAATATAATAAAAATACATCGGTTAATCATACTCGAAAGTTTTCGGTAAAAATTTAATTGACTTTAATTGATCCTTTTTTGCAACTATACTGTTTAGAAAAGTACCCCAAAGTACAATAAACAACTGAAACAATTGAACTGAAAATACAGTAGATTCCGACATTATTTTATCGCGTTAAACTTGTACTTTTAATGACGCAAGTTATCGGAGCTACTTGGATAAGGAAATATAATTAACGATGTGAAATAAATAAACCGTGAACATTGAAAATTATGGATTTTTATTTAACCATTGATTTTATACACTTTCAAATATATTTTATATAGTTGATTTAAATGATGATTTATAAAATGGAATTTCAGTTGAAATATAAAAATACAGAATGTAACATAATAGTCATTGTTTGTGTACACATGCACGTGTTAAATACTATTTACAAAAAATAATGGCATACAAAAGGACTTAACAATTAGCAATATTTTGACATATTACTTCTATCTAATAAAATGCATGTGCATGGAAAATAAGTTTATGTTGATTTGTATAGCAATTGATCAGTGTCGAAGTTTATTTTATTACAAAAATTCTATCAGACCTATAAGGTAAATTCCTAAATACATATTTACATAAAAGAATTAAATAATTTCAACAGTACCACCAACTTTTGTGATTGCCTCCTTCAACTGTTCAACTTCTTCTTTGCCAATATCAGATTTTATTATGACTGGTACACTTTCAACAAATTTCTTAGCCTATATGGAAGGAAGTATAATGAAATAAATGTAATTAGTAAAATGTTACAAAATATATGCAAGTTAAATAAATTACCTTTACAAGATTGCAATCTGGCAATATAGTCTTCATCTCTTTTATTAGAGCAACCTTTTGTTTGCTATCAAAACCTATTAGTTTAATAGTAAATGCAGTCTGTACTACTTCAGATACTTCATCTTCTTCCTAAAATAAAACAGTTACATATGCATTTGTTGTTAGCTTTACAGTATTTTTATAACAAAATTAATGTATATACTTGTTCAGCTTGTGGAGCAGCAACAAAACCTCCCATGGGCATCATAGGAGCATCTGGTAGGTTTAATCTCTTTTTAAGTACATCACTTAATTGTGCTGCCTCTATAAGGTTCAAGGTAACAATCTGATCAGCAATTTGTTCCACTTTAGGACTAACTGTTAGTTGGTCCTTTGAAACAGACTCAGATACTGAAGGTGTATTAACTGCAGCTGTTACTGCTGCTTCTTGTTGAATAATACTAAAACAGACAGAAATTAATACAAAACTAAAAGTCTATGTATTTCATTCAGATGCTTTCTAAGGTTATAAAAACTATTATTATTAAACAAAGGAATTATATTCATTTGTTTTATGCTTGATTCGTTTATTTATGTTATATTTAATACATCAAATGTTATTTAATATCTGTGATTTGAAAATTTACAAAAAAAGTGAGGTTATGTAATCACGTTTCGTTTATTTGTATAGTCGCAAAATGTTGATTCGTACCATTTGTGAAATTGACGAATTTGATGGATATTTCGTTGGCAGACAAATCGTAATGTATTCATTATATTTATTTAGTAGTACAATATTTTGTGTAACCAAAAACTTTACCCACAAGAATAACAATCAATGATAATGAAAATCTGAAGAGTTACAAACGAGTAAGATAGACTAGATAATATTTGAAAATGTGATCGTCCCGCCATCTGTACGACGCAATAGGTAGGTAAGCAACAATGTGATCAATGTTCTAAGAAACATAGGGAAATTGTATGTAAAACATTGTCTATCATGGAGGTCGGCAAATTAAGACGAAAATTTTGGACGTTAGCTAGATTACAGTAATTTGGATATTTTGAACCAGTCCAATAATTGCAATTCACGTTAGATACTTGTAATACTACAATATCGTAATATCATTGGTAAAAATCGTACACCTCAGATGGATCGATTCAACAGTCTTATGTTTTGTATACGTCATAGTGTACCATCCTATATTTCAATGACTGATGCAAAGCATCTGCTCTGCTTAAACATGGTCTAACCTCTCTTACGTTAAAATCGTGTTCAGCTTGATATTTGAAGAAGACGAAGTTAATTGAACCTATAGAACGATTCAAAATACTGGACGTGATGCCGTGTTCATTTCAATGGCGTTAGAAGAGCAGCGCGTCAATTTTGAAAGCAGCAGCTCGAAGAACGTGAACTATTTGCCCGGAAGAAAGTCGAAGGGAGAGGGCTGAAAGGATCTACCATCTACCTGTGACCCGTTTTCATCCAAGGAACGTTCATTGGTCAATGTCAGCGTATACCTGCGGCGTACGCGCAAGAGCGCAGGTATACGTATATCCTTTCTCGCAGTGCCCCTTCCTTACGAAAGGACAAAGCGGCTTCGTTGGTTCCCGTTACGGCAGACTTCGGTTGTGGCTCGCGAAAGAAAGGCGGAACGGTGGAAAAATCTGCGCGAATAGTGCACGCCGGAAGAAGGATCTCGAGAAATAAAATCGTGCGATCAGTGTCTCGTGTACTGTTATCGTGTGCAAAGTGGACGATCCCGGGTGTACTGGTGTGTGCATCGTGTGTTCACCGCGCATGGTCCGTCGAGAAGAACCACCCTGCTTTTCCTAATTACTTTAATTACAAAGACGAGCCTATTCGGCGTGCGCGCTCCGTGTCCGATGTACCTCTAAAGGCACAGTGGAAGCTATACATTCATAGAAACCGACGAAAATGGCGGCCTGAATCTGATCGATGATTGGACTCGTGAATCCATTTCTGGCGGCAGATTGTGAATAGCTAGTTTTTGCGATCCATCGAAACGTCGATTCGTCCATCGAACAGGATACACGTTCTGTTGGTCCTGGTTAATGGTACAACCCGGTACGGTTTCTTCGTAGACACGCAATCGGTAGCACTTATTTCGTTTGAAAAAACGTTCGAAAGAAAATCGATCGAAAAAGAAGAAAACCGAAAAGGTGGCAAGATCCGTGATAGGTTCAGTAATGCATATCAAGGCGCGAACGAACGTAACGGACGGTTCGCGCAGAAGTCCGTTACCCTCGGTGTTTCGTGCGACGTCAACGTGCTCATGTTTAAACTGGAAATCGAGAAAGTCCGTAGCGTTGATTTAACCGAAGATCTCGATAATCGAATATCACTTAAACGTGTTGCCGCGTCTAACGATTAACGATATATTCTCTATTGGAAACATCTTGAAGATAGAAGAAGAGAAATCGTGCGTGCATTAACGTCGAGCGATGAACTAGAACGAAGAAGAAGGCGACGAAGAAGAAGAAAAAGAAGAAGAATGCAATAGGAATTCTAGTTCGCCGAGAAACGAAGAAGGAATCAGGAGGACGTGCGTGTATATCGGTGGGGAAGTGTGCGAAGGAGAATAAAAAGCAGAAACAGGAGAAGAATAGTGAGGACGACGGTAGAGGGAAAAACAGAAGAATATCCGTTAGAGATGGAAATCGGTGGATCGCGGTTGTCTAAGGAGTCGTCGAATGAAAGGTAGTAAGGCAAAGAGGTAGTGGTGGCAACGAGAACGAACGAAGCAAAAAGAGGACGGCCGTCTAACCGGGCCGTGGAAAAATTGTGCGTGCACTGGTCGGTGGTGAGCGATAGCTACGACAACCGGAAGATACGCCGCTATGGAGATGAGACATTCGCGGAGCGAGGATCTGCTCGGCGTGATCTCTGGTTCGCGTTCACCGAGTCCTAACGTCCCTCTGCCAAGCACCGCATCTGAGGACGACCTTATCGCGGCCAGCGCCCTCCATGAGGCCAGTGACACCAACATCGTGAAACCTGCGTGTCCCTTGTTGTCCTCGAGGGTCGCCGGACCGGCCGGTCTTCCCGCGGATCGCATTGATCCCGAGGATTCCATTAGGGATATCCTTACCGAGAATGATATCTATAGGTTAGTACATTTTTTTTCTTTTTTACCCCCTTCTCCGTTCATTCTTTCTTGTTTTTCATACCTTGTTATTTCTTTCTTCTTCCTTGGTTCTTTTGGTTTACGTAATTATATTGGGTAAGGATGGTTTCTATCGTGCGTGACAATTTATATTAATGGACATACTGCTTCCTGCTAGAAAATTCGTTATTTTTCATTACTTCGTTTATGTAACTTTTCAAATGTAAATTCTCGATAAATCCTATTGACAATTCAACTGTATCTTCGTTCTTTTTTTTTTTTTTTTTTCTTTCGAGAACTCTTTGTAATCGTTGCGAAAAAAGATCGAGAAGTTTCGCGAGCGTCAATCTCTCGACTTTACTCGTCAGCGTAGCACGGTTTTTGTTTGCGTCGCGCGTATGATATCATCGATCTTTATCGATATTTTTTTCTTTTTTATCGTTGCGACGCGTTATTGTCGATCCCAGTCCAAATTCTGAAATAACCAGCCACCGATATTGTTCGTGCTACAGCTTTAGCCTGTTATCTGTTCGTCCGGGTCAAATCTGTCCGAATATATCGCAAAAATTGAAGGCACTCGATGTTTCGCTTCGTTTCCATTACCCGAGAGGGCACTCGAAGCGTAAATAAAATCGACTGAAATTGACGACGGAGGAGAGAGAAGCGAGGAAGGAATAAAATATAGACGTTCTATTTCGCGATAATTTACGACTCGAAGATCTCCTTTCGAAGCCTGATGTTACAGATATTTGCAAGTCGTGCAATGGAGATCCGGGACTAGAGATATGTATGTGTGTTAACCGTCTAAACGTGGACGAGCCTACACCATCGACTTTTATAAGATTTCCCATGGTTTACGAGCAAACCGTTAAAAGATATCGATTTTATAATACACGTCTCGAACCGGTGGTGTCGCCGACTCGTTTCGACGACTGTGCACACGCACACGCACTCGCACGCATTCTAACTACTTCTCGAACTATCGAGAGTATGTACAAACTCGTGGAGAGAGTTTTAAAAAAGTTGGAAAAAATATGTAGTGGCACGGTTCAATCTCCATTTGAATAATTAATCTCGCGGATTTCTAGATCGTTAGAATTCTTTTCTAACTGAACTTCGTATATTTTTAGTCAACACAGCTAACATCTGTGTGTGTTTAACAAAGTATTTGATAAGATAAAGAATAACATGTTCGCGTTTAAATTAGAGAATTAGCAGGAATTGTTTTTACTTAGAACAGATCATTCTGCGGGAGAATTGATCAAAAGTGGAGCGTGTTAGAAGGTTAACTGCAAAAGTAGACTTGAAACAAGACCGCTGGAAACAAATCGATCTCAAAAGAAGCAAAAAAAAAATGCAGAAAAGAAAAAAGATTTAATCTCACTACCAGATAACTTGTATAATCTCCGGTTATGATTGCACCGTATCTTAAGATATTGTTTAATAAAAGAAACAAAATTTCTTTCTCGATACATTTTCTAATCTTCGTAATTATTATTAATTCTTTCGTTGCAACAAACATTATTTATCGACTCTCCTAGAAATCTCTTTTGCACGCGTCTTCCTGTGACGCGTTTTCGAGAACAATTCTACGCGAACAATAAATATATCGGTATTCGCGGATCGTGACGGCATTCGGAATGTATCGAATTGTTCCGGAGGCGTTCTTAAATGGTGCGTTCTAAGCGTGCACAAGTAGGAAAGGCAGACGCGTGAAGAAGTGGAGAAAAATCGTTTCCGGTTTGATCGCCGTTGCGTACAGATCGATTTAAGTCGGTGACGTTGAATCATTGACAAACTATTCGAACGTTGCGCGTTCGCCTCGGTCGTTTCTTCGTTGTGGCGGCGCGTTCGTTCGCGCGCGCGCGCGTGCGTTTAAAAACGGAAAGCGAAGAGCGTTTCATTTTTAATGAAGAAGGAGGGAGCGGCTTCCGTAGGAGAGCACACGAGGTGTTCTCAATGAAAACGGCTTCGAAGGAAATTACGGAGCGACTCGTGAGGCCGTCGGGCGTCCACTCGAAGCGCGATTTAATCAATGCAATTAATCAGCTCCGCCTCGGTTTCAGCAACTGCCGGTAATTTTGCTCGTAATTAGAGATAACCGTGCTCCTCTATCAATTTATAAGACAAAAACCTCGAATGAATAATATTTTAAAGTTGCACCGTGTGGTATGTGCCTTCGTTACTTCTTTTCTTTTTTTTTTTTTTTTTATTTTACGCTTTTCTGTTTCGAAGGAAATTTATATTCTCGTCGGGGTTGAGATTTCTCGGGAATATTTTTCGTTGCACGTTTCAACGGTAAAAATACGAGAGTCGCGAATGGATTCTATATATAACTTTCATTTTTGGCGACACCCTGCAAAGATTCTTACTGTACGATCCGGAGACAGTTACTGTTGTTATAGAAGTTACATTTTGCCAAAGTAGAATTTATGGGTGGAGAAAGCAGAGAACACGTAGATGCGTGTTTCTCTGTCTGTAAGTTCGATTTCAGTTTAGCTTTTACTCAGCTTTCAAGGCTCTTTTAATTTTTATGAAGAAATATAGGGTGTTCCATTTTAAATAATCGATAGAGTGGAACTTATCGTAAATATTTCGGTAAATACTCGTTTTAGAGATATTATACCGAAATTTTAGTTTTCTCTTAAT